CGCAGCAAAAAATTTTTGCTGTGCAAGAGACTCTCATGTGGCGGGAAAATTCCATCGTGCCGAGGCACTAAAATCATTGGGTTGTGACAGTTATAACTTAGCGCATGCTTAAAGACTTCCAATACTAAGGCAACAGAATAGTAAAACAACATTAGCAGAAACTTGAAGCCCATCCAATGGTTAAAGCACAGCAACTAAAGTAGCCCCCTTGGGTCACTGAGTCTAGTCCTCTGCTATCACAGACAGTCAACTTGTATAACGTGCCCTAAACTTCATAAGCTCCAGAGGTGTAACTTGAAATGTTAACACCCTGGGTGGCAGCAGAGGGGGTGGGGGTTGGAAGAGAGCTCTTTCTTCCCTTGTCAGAGCTGCTGCAGTTATGGTGGTGTTTTGGATTTCAGCTTCCTTAGCCCAAGCTCCTCAAACAGGGATTGCTGCAATAGCTAGAGTTGATCCAAACCAAGTTGGTTTTTTTTCATTATTCCATATTTTTGTCTTGGATGCCAAAGTGAGAAAAAAAGATTCTGCATGCAGCCCTAATACTGATTTTTAAAGGCACTAGCTCTTGTTCTACTTCTGTGTTGTTTCCCCCATCCTGTTTAGAAGTCCCTGGATGCCTCTAGTGTTGAGAAAATACTTTTTGGTGCTTTGGTTTCACATAGTGAAAACTATGAGATTGACCAAAGTATTATGAAAATACAGAAAAAAGATATTATTTTCCTTGAGAGCATATCTGATTAGGAACAAAATTGTGCTCTTTGCTAACTACATAGTATTACTTCTTACATGAACTTACACAGTAGATGGATCCATTTTTTGTCTGAGGCCCCCTCTACTGTGCAGGGAAACATGTGATGGGATCTAAAGCATGATTCACACAATCATGCCTCCTGCAATGCTGCGTGTGTGTGGCAGGAAGTGTGACTGTGGGATTGAACATTAGATCCCATTGCACCTTATTCCCAGGTTCCCCTTGCACCAGCACAAAACAAGATCCTACAGCTGGGAGTCACTCACACCCCTGAGGCTGGAGGATCCCTACTGCAGTGATTGCCCTGGCTTGGAGATACATGAAACAACTCCCAGGGATGCATGATCCTCCAGTACCAAGGGTTTCCCACACCCCCAGGGTGGGGGAGGGTGTCACTCCTGCAGCTATCATCCAGCCCCAGAGGTTTCCCCACATCCCAGAGGCCTAGGGATCACAGTAGCCACAATCCCCAGGGTCTGAACCCCAAGCCCCAAGGATTTTGGTAGCCCCAATCCCCAGGGTCTGAGGGTTTCAAACAAACTCCCAGATCCTGGGAATCAGGGCTTGGGAAACCCCCAGACCTTGGGAACTGGGGATGCTATAATCCTTAGGACTCAGGGGTTTTATGATGGGCATGGTGCATCCCTGTGGCTGGGAGCCCTGTCAGCTGATGGGGCTCTCAGCTGCAGGGGAGACCCTGCTACATATGCAACTTAAAACTTGATAGTAATCAGCTATAAAGTTAGTATGCATGTTTTACGTCTAATTTTATAGCTGGTTGGAGCTTTTTATTGTGAGATAGCTACTTTGGACTCAGGGCATGTGTCCAGGTAATTGCACAATATCTGTAATGTGTAGAGGGGCCTGAATCTCCTTAATATATAATGGCCAGATTCTCAATTACTAAATATGTCTTATCATATTACCCAGATCCCAAATGCTTAACAAATACAATGAAAATAATTTGAATGAAAAGGGCTCATGCCTTTAAATCATGCTAATTAAATCCTGCAATATAGGTTAGTAACCAGTGGAGTCAGCACCAAAACAGTCCTTCACAACCCTTATTGTCAATAAAGAGAACTCCATGCTGAGTTCAAATAAGGCTTCATGGGCATTTGAAGCCCTTGGGTCCATTTATGCTTGGATGCAATCACCCCTTGTACACAGAGTATGAATCTCATTGTAATATTTCGTTTTAACTGTGTTCTTGTGGTAATAATGGTCTGTGCCCAGTAGGCCTGGCTGAATAGGGAAGTATTCAATTCAGATTTGGATTTGGTTGATTTGGAGGATAGTGATTCAATTCATAGATTTGGATCACTGTCCTGAATCAATTCAGAGAAATCGGCTTTGGAAGATTTGGCGCTGATTCGGAGTGATTCGGAGATTTGGCCATAGACTATAATGGGGAATCACTAAAATACCTATAACTTTGTCATTTTGTGCCTGATTTGGATAAGAATTTCAGGCTTGCTAGCCCCTTATACGGGCATGGAGTCTACCAAGTTTCAAGGAGATAGGTACAGGGGTTTCTGGGAAACTACACCTCAAACTCATGAAAGTTAAACTCATGTATGTGTGTTAAGGCAGATTTGGATGAAAACATCAGGGATGCTAGCCCCTTCTGAAGACATGAAGCTTTCCAAGTTTCAAGAAGAAAGGTGCAGGGGTTCTAGGAAACTGCACCTCAAGCTGCTGACAAGTAAAATTCATGTCATGTGTGTGTTAAGGTGCAGCGGGGTGAAAATGCAGATATGTTAGCCCCTGCTGAGGCTGAAGACTGCCAGGTTTCAAGGAGATAGGTGCAGGGGTTTCTGGGAAGCTGCACCTCAAGCTTCTGACAAGCAAAACCATGACATGTGTTACTGTGTGCGTGTGTTAAGGCATGACCTCACTGGTGCCGGAGCTTCTATACAACACTGTAGTGTGCCCCAATGAGGCCGCCTCCTCCCCTAGAGCCTCATCTCAGTCCACCACTTTAAATAACAACAGGCAAGCAGTACGCTGCAGCACAGTAGCAATAACATCTTAGGCAGCCAAACTGTCACAGACTAGAGCCTTTCTTTCCTTTTCTGTAGGAGCTTCTTCTCCAGCAGCTGCCAGAGAACTCTCCCTGCCAGCCCCAACTCTCTTCTATGACTGACTTCTTTTCTGCTGTGTTTAATAATCTGAATCTCTATCTGACTTCTTCTGTGTTGTGTTTATTCTGTGTGCATTTATAATAACTAATAATAACTATATATAATCTCTTCTTCTATGACTGACTGACTTCTTCTGTGTTGTATTTAATAATATCTGACTACTTCTTCTATAATGTGTGTGTGTGAGTGTGTGTAATGTATGTGTTTCCCTGCACAGTGATGGATCATACTACCAGGGAAAGCACACTTTTCTTTTTAAAAGGTGTGGGGAAAGAAAACAAACAAGAACAAATATAAATTGAAAAGAATGGATTGGATAGGGATAAATGGAGGGATTCTAGTTAGTAAGCTATATCCAATCCTTTCCAAGAAGAGAAAATCACAGGAAGCTGACTAGGTAGGAAACCAAGCCGGTCCAGTACTTTTCAAATGCTGTTGGTCAGGCAGAAACAGATCACTAAAGGCACAGAAAGCCTGCAAACAGAGGCTTATATGGCATTTCTACATCCCTCCCCCAGAGGACTGTGATTGGAAGGGGACTCGGAATGATCACAGTCACCGACCAGCTAGAGATGTCAGTCTGCTCCACCCCTCTCCACCCTACTCTCTCCCTCTTCTCAGTTTCTGTTCTCCTGAAATACTGTCTTCTAAATTTCTGAATCTTTTCCAAATCAATTTGGAGTTTCCGAATTGATTTGGAGGGTTTTTTTCTTCTCCCAATTCTATTCGAATTTGGTGATTTGGCCTCCAAATTGTGCCAAATCTTCTCTGAATCGAATCATGGACTGAAGCTTTGCATACCCCTAATGCCCAGCTAATTTATTCAAGGGAAAGAAATGGGTTAAAAGCAGTGGTATGAGTTGGATGAAGGGTCTGGGGCCGGTCTATGGACTGGATCAAGATCACAGGCCAGTCCTATATGCCAAAGCCAGCTGCTTGCAGGACACACTGGCCTTAG